TAAGTCTTCTTTCCGTTTTCATAATCTATTTATAGTCTGTGCTTACCATAATTAGTGAGGATGATATACCTCATGAGTGGAAAATATCTCCTCACTTATATGTATACTAGTGTAATTAACCTCTTCTAAATAAAGATTAATCAATAATAATACACATTATTCTTCACTCTTTTAGCTCATTTTTTCTCTTTATTCTAACAGTTATCCTTAAATGACGATTAAAGTTGTTAATTAGTATTGCAAGTTTATCTCTCAGTAACTTGATAGGAAAATATTAAAATGTTTTTCTCATCATAAATAACTGGATTCACGAATTCAACAGACAACACCATGTGCATCTCACTTTAAAACGGCATGACACAAGCATATTACATTACGCGCGTGATTAAAATAATGGTAGTTTAATGGTAGATTAAAATAATGGAAGTTAGATGTCTATATTGTAAAGAAGACATGACCTAGTTCTTGCACCCAATTCAATTAATGACGCCTTCTTAAAAATAAATAAATAAATAAACACTTCTCTTGTGTTTTGATCCTTTTAAAAACATTAAAGAGGGGTAGGCATGGACCTTTTTGGCTTACTTTTTCATTGATCTATTTTATAGTTTATTTTCTTACAAATATACACCTTTTCAGAAAAGTTGGGTCCTTTAGGCTTTAGCATGTGGGAAATGATAGCATGAGGGCCCAACATGAAGAAAATTGTTGTCAAGAATCCAATTAATGAGAGGACAAGATCCATTGAGATTGACCCAAGTTTTGCTTTCCATCGAAACAATCGGTTGGTCTTGGATTGGATACTTTTAGACCATCATAATTCAAAGTCTTGAAGTGGGTCCTTTCTTTTACTTTTCTTGTGGCATAGCCATTAACGTGCTGACTAGAACAAGATAATTAGGCCTCAATCAGTCTTGGCACACCCCTTAAGCAAGATGCTTATCACTATGGAAACCCCACAATAATTCTTAAGAAACGACCCTCCAATTAAAGTAAACATTTATGAATTATGTGTCAATGGAAAATGATTTTGCTTTACATGAGAAATCTCTCGCTATTATAGTGCTCGAATGACTATGATGATGGATCAAATATCAGTACAACAGTACTTTATTCTTTCTAGGTTAACAGTCTATCCCACTCACTACCTTTTCTTTGACATTGTCAACTAATCAAATCCGTGATCCTTGTCATGTTGGAAATTTCACTTACTTTGGTTACAAATAAGTACGATATATATGAGTGAAAATATATACATACACACACATTACTGTGATTTTTCGTTTAACCCTTTAATTAATATCTCTATCCTTTTGGATTCCTTGGCCTAACATACACTGTGAAACTGTAATTGTACAATGAATTTGTACCAAATTTTGTACTATAAAGAGAAAAGAGAAGGGAAATATAGAACAAGATAACTATAAAAAATATGTATTCTTAATGAAATATGATTTTGTTAATCTTAAAAATTGATGTTAACAAAACTGTGAATAATATAACTCATTGATATTCATGCATGTTAAAGTTAGTAATGATCTGAAAATTGTTCACATGCTAGCGGAACTAAAGCTGAATTCATCGTTGATTGAGGGGATCAAGCTCAAGAAAAACAATATACAAAACAAAAATGATAATAAATTACAAAAAGAAATGGAGAGAGGGAGAGGTGAAGGCCTTCTTCAAGCTAGAAGAGGCACCAGACACCACCTCCTACATCTATGTTCTACACACAATAATGTTGAAAAAACGAGAGAAAAGTTTGAAGTGAGTTCATATAAGACAAAAAGGGGTTGGAAAGAAAACATGCATTTACATCAAATCAGAGTGAAATGAACGATTATGATTTTAATTAGATTTTGATTCAATGTACAAATTTTCGTGTTTCCCGCGCCAACTTGGATCATGAATGATACTTTACAAGTCGATGTTGCTTTTATAGAAAGAAAGAAGCATACGAGAAATCTTTGTCACTATACTTGTTTTCATTTTTCTTCTTTATGTCGTTTGTATATGATATGTAACACAATTAAGGCTTTTCCGTTAGCTTATTGAGCATTATCGTTCTACTCGTTTTCATTTTTCTTCTTTATGTCGTTTATCTATGATATGTGGCCCAATCACTTTCATTAGCCTATTATCGTGCTTGCTCAATCATTGCAAATATGACTCTCCTATTGGATAAAATTTATTTTGACCAATGTAACTTCAAATCACTTGTTTATCCAGATTAAGAAGATTCAAGACCACAGCTTAAACATGAAGAAAATGTTATCGAGTTTTTGATCTAGTGTTTTTTGGAAAAGATTTGTGGGTTCTCTTACAAAGATTTTTCGTAATAACTCTTACCCTTAATTAAAACAAAACTCATTTCTAGTGTTTTATAATTATAATAATTTTAAAATTAAAACGAAGATAAATGTATATAAAAATAAACGAATTCCTATCGCAAATAAAATTATAAATTTTTTATTTTATCTTTTATTCTATTTTTTAAACAAGTTTCTAATTTTTTTTATATGGTTCATTTATTAGTATTTTTTTTCTAACGTATAACTATTCAACATTTAACTTAACTCAATAATATAATATAAAATTAACATAAATGACATACCATCTCTACACTTTTATTATTTTTTATTCTAAATTTCAATTTAAAAATTTTTAACTTTATAGCCTAAAATTTTATTTGATAATATAAAAAAATATAGTGTTATTAATAATATATTTTATTTATGTTATATCTCAATCAAATTATATAAATTGACTTAGACGTTGTGCAAAAATAAGTTAACAAATTATTAATGAAAAATAAATAAATAAATGAATTTAAAAAGTTTAAAAAAACAAATAAAATTTATTTTTTAAATAGAATCATATATTAAAAAATAACTTTATACTTACCTTATTTAACAATTTGAAAAATAATAAACGATTTCACTTCAATTCAAACCATTTCTATATACAAGGTGGCTCTTAATTCTTAAACTTAACTCTTTATTTGGAACGATTAAAAAAATAAGAAAATAAGAAAAAGAACATCTGTAAAGAAAAATAATGAATTGATGACTGGAATATCATTACGTTGTTTAAATTTTTGTTTCTTTTATTGGTCACTTCTTTAATTTAAATCAAAAATAAAATTAAATATTATTTTTATATTTAATTTAAACCATTTTTATATAAAAATTAAACCAAACCAAGCTATTCCTATTTCAAAAGGACAGATTAATCAACTTAAAAGCTTTATCCAAAGCAACTAAGGGGTTGGTGAGTAGATGGTTGTAATTTGTGAATGCCCATTACCCAACCAACATTTCATAAATTCAAATGAATAAATAGCTAATTTGGTCTGTTAAAAAAGTATACATTAAAATCCTCAATCTCTAAAAAAGCATAATTTATATTAATTAATGAATGATGAAAATTAAACCTTATATTCTTTAATATGTATAATTCAAAATATGTTTTGCATTATTACTCAAATGTCTTAATTAATCCATGAGATTCACACGATAACTAATTTAACCGACAACATATAAATTTATTTAAAATGAAAAATACAAACATTTAATTTAATAAACTTTACACCATTATTGTCATCAAGCGATGCATCAACCCATCATTAAAAGAAACTTTATAAGTAATAACTGCAATAATCAAAACTTATAATAACATAATAAAATATAATTGAATAATAACATTGAAAAACTTTAGTATCGTATTAAAGATATTGATTAAAAATTTAATAAATAAAAATATTATAAGAAAATATAAAAATAAAAAAATATTGTCATACATTTAATAAAATATTTTTATTTTTAATTTATTAACTTCTTGCTTGTTAGCATCTGTCGAAACCTTATTCTCATCAACCTGCATTTGCAAGAGCACGGTCCCTTAAACTTGTAATCAAGTGTTTGATTTAGAAATTGTTTTTAGTTTTATATTATAAATTTAAACTGTTATTCTGGAAAATTATGTCATCATGGTCTTCTCTTTTTTTTTTTTTAGCATCTTGTGACACTATTATACAAGTTTTAATTAATTTAAAATAACACTTTTTCTCAGATATTATTCAAATAAATATTTTAAATTATTTTAATCAGTATAATTTTCTCAATCAACATTTTATATAATAAGATATATCATAAATTACGATGAAAATATAATTTTACTAATTAAACTAATTTTAAAATTAAATATTGATATTTTTGTATTTTAATTCACACTTTTAATTGCTAAAAAATATTTTAAAATTATGATTTTAATATTTCACGCAGATTTATTTATCAACAACAATACTTGATTAATTTATAAAAAAAAATTGGAAAGTCTTGCAAGTCAATATCTTAAAGATAGTAATTACAAGCTAATAAATAATAATTTTGAATTAAAAATTATGTGTTTTGAATTAAAAAACAGTTTAAATTCTTCAACCAATATGATACTAATTAGTTTTTTTTTACTATTAACATATAATCAATGATACATTTAACCTTTTTAAAATATAAGGTACATAAATTAATTTTAATTTATAAAATTTATATATTTTTAATAAATACTGTATACAAAAATAAATTAAAATTTTAAAAAAATTGCAAAAATAAGTATCTTAGCGAAGATCCACTGCTTTTAACATTTGTTATGATTGTATAATCTTTTTTATTAGTTCAGAAATTAAGAAACCTTTATTCTTCCATTGAACTAGACTAAAATCCAAAAATCAAAAGGAAAAGATGAAAAGGAATAACACATCTTGTAATCTTCTTCCTTTGAAATCGATTCAAGTAATTTGCATATTTTACAAATTACAACACAAACAATAGAAAGCAATTGATCCCACCCATCCAGAGGGATAACTCTCTTCTTTTTAACGAATAAAATAATAATCAAACTCTATCATCATTTTACTAATAACTAATTTAGCTTAAACTCACGGAAAATCAATAATTAGGGTCAAAAATACAAACGCAAAAAAAAAAAAAAAGGTGGTTCGTCAGTGATGATTCTATTTTCAAGGAAAGAGCGATCTATAAAACCGAGTCAACTCAGCAGATTAACTCGTCGTGAAGCAACGGCCGCGAGTCTCCGACAAAGTCAAAGCCACTTCTGACATCGACGTGGCAACGTCTCTGGAAATCGTCGAGAGTGGATTCGGGTCGGGCCATGACCCGAAGAAGCTCTTCGAATAGAGACTCATTGCAGGGTATAGCGAGTGGGCCATGGTTGCAGAACCCATACTCTTCCTCAGCTTGGACCAGAAGCATCTTGAAGATCGGGTGGTTCAGGTGCGTCGCGCGCACGATGAACCTCTTTTTGCTGGGTCCCACGCACACCGCCACGTGTCCCGCCGGCACATCCGACGGCGCTCTCTCCGCCGCCAACCGCGCCTTCGTCCGCCACCGGAGAAGCATTTGCCGAACCCTAACAATGCGACGGATTTTGCTGCAGTTTCCGGTCGTCGGCGACATTTGAAGAAGAAAAAAATAAAGCGCAGAAAGTGAAGTGTGAAAAAGGAACAGAGTGGTGTTTGGATACTGGAAGTGTGAACGGTTGGTTAGGTAGGGAATGATAATATGTGCGCGTATATATGGTTTTGGTGCAGACGAAAGGCCCCTGAAGTTGGAGATAATTACGAGATTGCGTGTTGGCTGAATCGCAGTCAAGCCCATGTGACGCTGTGGAAGAGAATGAGACGATTCATGTGGGCTTAAGCTTAGCCCACTAGTCCTGCTTCTTTGTTATCGTGCATTGCAATTTTGTAATGCATTGTACTAGGTCTCCTTTTAGAAAGCTAAATTAATTAAAGTTAATAGCATTAGCATGTCAACTTTTTATCCTTAACAGGTAGATTTTCCATTGTCAGATACATTTTTCCCTTTTCATTTCTTTATTGTGCTTTTTGTTTTAGTGTGGTTGGAATCACTGTGTGAAAGTGAGCGAAAGGATATTATTTGCTATTATACTATGATATAAAGTTATTGGATTTGAATGAGTTAAAATTAAAAACAATTTTAAGAAAGTTACTGAGAAGCTCATACGATTTTAACATAGCTGCCGTTGTTAGCAACATATTAAAAGATTTACTAGATCTTATTTTTAATTTGTGTGACTTTTCAGATAAGGAGACTACTCATAACTCACTCACTCTGGGCCTCCTATACCAAAATCTTAATAGTTACATCCTGATGTTTGTGTCTCTATTTGTTAATAAAATTTGGAAAGCAGAAAAGCACGGAAGCCTTCTTACTGAATTCATGTTATATTATCCTATAAAAATTTAATGGAAACGAAAATGTCTTGAATCAAAACAATTTTTTATTTTCAAGTTGGAATAAGAACAATTAATGTGTAACTTTGTTTGTAGCTCAAGTTATTGAACAGGCTCACGTTACATGTGCATGCCTCAATTAATTATTATGTTTCCTTCTCATCTAGCATTGAGATTATGGAACTCAAAACCTGATCTTTGTCTTTGAACTGCATAAGATCCAAACTACATAATAAAAGTCTTGTTGCAAATCCTGTTAGCTTTCATCATCCTGCGGAATTAGATATATATTTTGCACACACTGTTCAGTTACCAATCAAGGGCACAAAAATGGGACTGCATGCAAATCATTATGATTAGATGAATGATGAGAAAAATATTGCGCCTTTGGATCCGATTGCCCTCGACCAACAAGAAGAATCATTTTGCTTTGAATTGATTTACTATGGAATTATTAGCTTTTATAAAACTATGATTTGGTTTATTAGTTCTACTATGGTATGTTTCCAATTAACAACATATTATAAATAACTACTTACAAAACTTAATTAACGAAAAAAGAATTGTAGCGAGCAAAAGAAGACATAAAATAAGTACTGAGGCGATGAGATTCCATGATAACACACAGGTCAAATCAAAGTAATAGCCTTTTGTTGTTTATTAGTAAAATATTCAAAGGATTGTGAAGAAACAGACAAACATAGAGAGACAAAATCAACTGCATTGCATTTTGTAATGTTTCATTTTATTAATCCCATGATTTTCCTGTCCCCAGAATCATTTTAACACAGTAATCCTGATTAAAATATAGGTATAACCGATGATTTTGGAATATATGCTGGCCCCAGCATGAACAATTAACAGTAAAGAGAGTGGGCATCAGTGGAGAGAGAAATAACGTTAACCGTTTTGCGTTTTCTTCTTCTTTGGTCAACACCGCTTTCTTCTCCCAACATTGCAAATATGCCAGTGATAGGATCCAAATACTTGTCCAATTTTTCATTCCTTTTCCTTGTAAATGTTGGACTTTTTTGGTCCAAAAAATATTAGCAATGACAGCTCATTTAGGTTATTATCACTTCAGTCTGAGGAGGCCTATTGGATTTCTGTTTTTTGGGTCAATCACTTAGGATTTCTGTTCAGAACCATGGGCTTCTCTGACCAAAACAAGGGCTTCTCCTAGAGGATCATCATTGGATCTTCTTCTCCCTGATCTCATAGATCATACTTTGTTTATATTTAGTCTTTATCTTTTGTAACACTTCAAAAAGATGGAAAACACCGCTCCATTACCTTTAATTCATTCGAACAAGCAATTCATAAATGGAAATATTTGTTGCAAAAAGTTGTGAGGTTATGAAAAAATTGAATATAACCCAATGAATAACAATATAAATACTATGATAGTGGTGAAAATAACTTCAATAACAATGGTAGCATCGACAATGGTAATTGGAGAGGTCAGGTTAATCACAATGAACGTGCAAATAGTAAAACTAGAGGTGACCACAATAATAATAGTTGTGCTAATTGCCAAAAAAAATTCTAGATTTATGTAATTTTGATGGTTAATTTCTTGAAGTTCAAGAAAATAAAGAGCCCTTCACTGGGACAATATTGTCAATCATCCTCAATATTAATCAAGAATAAGAAATCAATGATGATTCATGATATTGTCCAAAGGGATCACAATATCGTCTTACTAATGGTAGTAGCAACAACAGGCCAATTGCAAGTACCAGTGTTGTGACACTATTTGTTAAGCGAGTCAACACTTGATACTGGTAATGACAACAACAGTGATCGCACCCCTAAAGATGATGACAACAATAGTGATAATGGCAATGCAAATGGCAATAAAAAGAACTATAACAATAATGTTAATAGTGAAACAAAAAGATGGTAGTGTGAAGGGAAAAGGGAGACAAATCTGCAATGTATTTTTTTCTAACCCAACTCGCCCCTTAAAATAAATTTTGAACTAATAAATAAGTTAATCCTATGATATTAGTTCATCAACAATATATTAGAATAAAATAAGATAACTTATTTTATCATCTTTATCCTAGCCATAAAACAGACCTTACGCCATATTCTGAAAAATCTTCCATTTAGTAAACAAGACTAAACTTTTATATTGTTTTACACTAACGGGAAGCATATTACTTTTGACTTCCACACAAAGCGCAACAAAATACAGTGACTGACCCAATTTCAGAATGAATAGTAAACTTCGATATGCATTGTCAGTTAAGCAAATGACATAGCAGGCGCCTTGCTCTACGAAGTTGGAACTCAAAATAAGACAGGGTATTTATTTAAACAAGGCAAAATCTTGAACATTTTCATAGCGCACAAAACTCAATGCTTTAAGATTATCCAAAGCATAAACCAGAAAAAATGGGAGAAAACATGGTAAAGTTCCTTGTCATGAATTATTTTGGTATTCTACTTCATCGATGGACACATAACCCTAGAGATCTCTCATTGCTTTTAGTGATGAGACTTGGCCTGAGCTTTCTGTTGTGACTTGGCTTTTGCCTGAAAGCATAACCATAATGAGAAAAAGAATCAAAATAAATGCCTGCATGCCAAAAAGCAAAACAGAAGTTCCTACAACATGAACAATAATTATAACATGTAGAATCAAGGTAAAGCATCCTAATTTTCTTACAAAACCCAGAAATAACAAATGCAAAAATGGAAGTGTTGAGCACTACGAAACTATAAACCAGTCCATCAAAAGCAAAACATACTGAACAGCAAAACAATGTGTGCCAATTGACTAAATATGGATAATGAAATTCTATATAAAATTTAGATCTGATCTGAACCATCGAGATTTGAGTATAATACACACACAATTGGTATCAGCCAAGACTGTAGATCCAGCCCAAAAGGGGCAGCCAGGATCTGCAAGATAAGGTTTTGAAACAATAAATCTGTATTGTTCAATCTAAAAATTAAAATCCCTTAAACAAAGCCACGATGCTTAGACAGAAAATGAGTGAAAAAATAGCAAAAGGCTATCAATCTTTCAAACTGGATGCAGGCTTAGCAGGGAAACCCCAGAAAGAGGGCAGGCTATAAACATGCCGATAATCAAATTGGAGTCAAAAGGTAGCCAAATTGAGCACCAATGTATGTATGCGCAATACTATCGTATCTGAAAACTGATTAACCCTACTTCATTATAAGTATGTAGTGCTAAACAAAGCGTGCGAACAGTAATTGAGATCAACATTGATTTACAAACATTTACCGCATGAAAATTAAATTAAGCATTTCTATAGATCGTTAAATTACAAAGCCAAATATGCATAGCAACCTCCGAAAATAAAATGGTCAACGATCGGATGCATTGAAGACCGAGGAAATCGTTAAAATACCTTAAGATACTTGAGCTTAATGCTTCCGTAAACAAGGCCGAAAGAGAAAGCAGAAGCTCGAGCGACCTACAATGCACAAGGTTTTAGAGAAAACCGGAAAAATCTTGTCCCTGAATTAGTACCATTTTCAAATTTATTTTCTCGGGAATCAAACAGAAAATGTAAATTGGAAGCGTACCAAAGCTAGGGTGCTGGTACCAGAGTAAGGCCCTGGTGGAGGTGCCATAGGATTGATTGTTCTGAACGCAGTTGTGGACACGATAACGGAACGATGGAAGGAAACGACTCAGCGAATTGCAAAAACCCTCCTCCACAATTTTCGATTATCGAACCCTAGTAGTACCGCAAAGAGAGGGGTATTCGCTGACTGCACGATGTCGTTTAATGCGTGACCCAAACCCATCAGGCCCAAAACGATTAATGCGGACCTCTATTTCAGATCCAATCACAGCTAAATGTTTCACTCAAACAATAATGCCATACAAAAATGGATACGAGTCCCCCATGGCATTATGCTATTGCAACACAATAGTTAACTCGATATTCTTTTTTCAAAAATAATAAGATTATTTATTCATATAAAAGCACTTCAATGCATAACTACATATCAAATCATGCTCACTTAAAATAAATAAATATCAAACAGAACAAACAAATTGTGTAATATAAAATCTTCAGTATTTCTTTAGTCAAAAGGTTTTGATACCCTCTCAGAGTTAGTGATTTAGTTGAAAAAGACATTAGTATCATCTAATTTTTAAGATAATAGAAAAATCAAAATCATTATTTTAAATAAGGTATAAAATACACTCTCAAATTATAAATACAAGCACAACTGTTTAACTAGTATTCTCATATCAAACCTAGTCCAATACCAAAGATAAAATCTTCAAGTTTGAAAGCGAAACGCGATTGTGCAAATATGATTACATGGTGGAAAGCCCAAAACTATAGACAATGATCCAAATCCCTTCCCAGCCCTTAATAAGCAAGTTTATATTAAAAATGATTTTGTTTTTCAGTCTGAATTTCACAAATTGATAAATGTTATGACAAATAAAATTTTACATAAATATGATTTAGGACTTTAAAAACACACACATGCATACAAGGTTGAGGTATTTTGTATTCTCCAACAGGTGCACATACATTATGTTGGTTTGTGGGTCCAGTCTACTCGACCTTATCCGATCTGAAAACAAGGATTGATATCACAGATTTGCATCTCTTCCAATCTGTTTTGCTGAGTCGTTTTGAGTTTGATATGTAGAAAGAGGAAGTGATGGAGATTGCATCATTAGAGTTCAAGTAGGCCAATTTTATCACTGCCTTTTGCAATCCCTTTGTCTATGCCACTGGAGACAGCACTTTTAGTTTCACGGAAAGCTATATAATTATTGTTAATATAACATTTTCCATTGATAAAAAAAATGCTTTGGGATAAAGCATGGTAACGACGAATGAGTGGAGTGTGGTATTGTGTATATCCTTTCTTAGTTTCTTGTCTACATGCGGCGGCGATCTACCTTTTGTGGTTATCTTGACAAGTGGCCATTTGAGCCTCTTGTGGGTAATATATTAACATGCTTAATTTGTTATTTAGATGTATTAATCACATGATTAGTCAATTTTATTCGCGTTTACAAACATAGTAAAGATATAATTTAATTACGTCATATTATTGAATATATAAAGCTAACAGTAAAAACTTTAAACATATTCTTATACAATTAAATTCCAAATAAAAAATGTATAAAGAAAAATAAATATATATTTGTTAATATGCTAGCTTTAATTTTCAAACTGAGATGCCCATCTTTTAAGCCGCTAATCGTGAAATGGGGTTTGATAGAAAACAAAGAAGAAGCTGGTTCACACCAACTCTCGTAATGGGAACAGCTGACCTAGTTTTTGCGGGAGTCGTTAGAGGCTTGGGGGCTTGGAACAATGTTATGGGTAACAAATAAAATAATCGAATTATGTGTCAATATTCATGGAATGTTGTGTACATGGGATTATATTGTATTCATTTTATTAGGAATAGTAACAGGTAAAGTGACTCTGACATTTACTCGATAAATGAGTACGGATATACGTGTAGGAAAATATTTACAGATTTTAATAGAAATATGTATTCATTTCATACTCCTATATATTAATATATATTTTTTATTAATTACACTATTTATATGAATTTTTATTTCTATTTAAATTTTATTTTATAATTACGTATTAAAATTTTATAGTATTATATTATTAATGTAAATTTATATAAATATATTTTTTAAATAAATATAAATAATACAGGTATACAAATAAGTATTACAGGATCCTATAGTATTGCAGTAACCTGTCTATACCGGTACTATAGTGCCATACCCTGCCTATTAACATCTTAAGATTAACCTTAAATATTATTCTATTGATTTTCACGTTATTTTCTAATGAAAAAGCATTTGCACGTGGATGTTGAAAGTATGGGACTACGACAAATTTGAATCAAAATGTGTTCGGGTATTGCATTTTTATTTCTTCGTATTTGGATCTTATAAATTATGTATTTACATAAAATTTATTTCGATAAATAAAAATATACTTTTAGATAATTCTAGTTTTAGGTTTATTTAGTTATTTAAATATAAATAAACAGAACAAGTATATAATATTATAATTTAAGTGAAAAGTGTAAAATTAAATAATATTGTAAATGAATTTTTTAATAAAATGATGAAGATAAAAATATCATAATAAGATTCGAACTCATAAATATTACTTTAAATTTGTATTTTAAAAAACTCTAATTAAATACTTTTATTTTCATGTAAAATTAATTAATTAATTAATTTATACTTAAATATATTTTTTTGTCTTTATATTTTAACACATTTTTTAGTCTTTTACTTCTTATTTTTTTTATCTTTACTTTTTTATAATTTTATACTTTTAATAGTTATTACTTATTACTTATCTGGTGGATTGAAATATGGTTTAAGTGTCAATTTTTGATTGAGTTACGTTAAATAAATAAACTAAATACATTAATTTGTAAAAAAAAATTGAACTAATTAAAAAAATATGTTATATATAAATTTAATAAATGAATTAAAAATATATATTATAAATAGATTTGTATTCTATGTCATTCATTATATGATATGTATATTTTTCTTTTGTTTCAAAATATCGTCTTTATGAATTTTTTCTCCAAGAACTTGAGTTTTGTCCTCTTTCATCACTAGCCAAAAGTGGCGTTGCTAGGGTTTCTCGCTCTACCAGCCCAATAGGGGTCGTGAGGTAGAACCTAGTGGATCTAAAGGAATGAAGTGTCACCAATCTGAGAAGCAAACCACAAAAGAACTAGATTTAATGAACCGCACTACAAAAAAGGTCAAGGTGGGGGTGGAGAACTCTATTGATAAGACGATCGTTCATATGCAACTGAAGTTGTGCTTTGGTGACTTGGAAGCAAATTAGGTGTCTTCTTTAACCTTTTCTTCTAAACCTTACACTTATAAAGATATAGTTCTAAAGTCGGATGACATGGATCTTAGTTTGAATCATGAGGATATTTTTAAATCTGTTCTTAATGATTTTAATATTCCTCCTGAAAATGAAGATGATTCTAATATTCTAGAAAACCCTCGTGAGTTATATCCAGACATAAAAATATATTTATATGATTATGAAAATTGGTGTTTGCCATAGAAATTAACTTTGATTGTTAAACTTCTTGGTAAATCGGCTAATTTTAGCTACTTGAACCAAAAATTAGGTCATATTTGGGGTAAAAATGGGACTTTAAAAATCATGGACCTTAATAACAACTTTTTTTTAGTAAAATTTGATAATTCAGAGGATTATAAACATGCTCCTTTTGAAGGACTTTAGCTAATACTAGATCACTATTTGCTAGTCCAAAGGTGGAGACCTCTATTCAAACTTAAAGACCAAAAATTGAAAAAAATTGTGGTCTAGGTTCATATACCTGACCTTTCATTAGAACTCTATAATAATAAGTTTTTGTGATAAGCAGAAAATTGCCTAGAGTCAATGCTAAAAGTTGATTTACATACATCCCTTGTATCTAGAGGAAAGTTTGCTATAATATGTGTAGAAATAGACTCGAGAAGGAACCTCATTCTAGCTTTTAAAGTTTTAGACCAAGAATTTAAAGTAGAGTATAAAGGTCTGCATCTCATCTATTTTAAATGTGAGAAATATGGGCATAAGCAAGAACATTGTACTAAATGTCTTAGTTTTAGTTAGGGTGATGCTAATCAGGTAGCAACTGCTATTGTTCAAATTCAAAGGGAGGAAAGGGGATAGAGAATAATGCTGAGGAAGCAAAGGAGTTGGATATGACTGATCAAGCAAATAATTTTGGGCAAGTTAGGGACCCGTTTGTTCCTTGGATGTTAGTAAAAAAATTTTATGGGAAGAAATCTGATCTCCCTCACTCAGCCAAAACCTTTGTGACCTATGGTAGGAAAATAGATGCTCATATTAGGTATAGATTTAATATTTTGGGGGAATATGATCAGGATCATAGTAAAAAAATTTGACTTTGAAAGCCTAAGCAATGTTGATCCTCAAACAACTAGTAAACTAGGGATTAAAGGCCCTATTAGTAAAAAAAAAAAAATGAATAACAAACCTTCTGCTAGCCTTAAAATGAAAGAATTTAGTAAAAAATCAATTAAAATACAGTACTCGATTAGAAATGCAAAAATAAACATAGAGGAAGAAGCAAGGGTAGATACTCTAAGTTATAAACAAGAGGTTTAGGAGACTAATAACGATAAGAAAAGTAGGGATACCCTCCTATTAATGAATTTTTTTCAAGATAACCTCCAAAAATCTGCTAACCCAGGGCATTCTATACAGGACCTTATAGGTTTGAATCCAGCAAGAATTTGAAATGATCATGAAAAACTAAAACATATTCCTATTGATTGACCCCCAAATATCTCTTTACCTATGCACATGGATAAAGCTCAAAATGTGGAAGCAAACTTGATTGATGATTCTTTGCCTCTTGTTTGTCGTAAAGAGTTATCCCAGCATCTTAGTGATGCAAAAGAACTTAAACAGTAACCTAAAGAACTATCTTTTTTGGAATTGTAGGAGTGCATGTGGTAAAACCTTCTATAGACATATAAATGACTTAATTAGAATGCACTATCTAGATTTTATTGCCCTTTTTGAGCCCAGAATTAGTTCCACCAAAGTCGATATGGTTATTAGGAAAATAAACTTGGATGGGTCAGTCAAAGAAGATGCTAGAGGGTTTATTGGAGGGATTTAGTGTTGTTGGAACACCAAAAGAGTTAAAGTTAA